TTTTTTTTTTTTTTTACAATTTTTTTAAAAATGAAATCAATTAAACGTTTCTTTTCACCAAATTCTTCCACATCACCTTCAGATCCTTCAAAAAAATCATCTCGTATATTTTTACGTTCAAATTCAGGTTCTGCTATATTGGATTTAACAAAAGAGAAATCCAAAAATAATACTTTACATTTAGATACTAATGTACATCAATATCGTCATCATTCTGCTGCAAATTCTCCTATAAGTTATAACTTAAGTTATAATACAACTCCTACTACTACTTCAAATTCTCCTATTGATTCTGATTCTTTTTATAATTATCGTCGTCAAAATATACCTTTAGTTCAAACCCTTTCTAATAATAAACAAATATCTTTACCTCAAATAAATACTGCTGCTGCTGCTTCTTCTGCAATAATATGTCAACCTCCTAGTTCTCCTATTACTAGACAAAATCAAGCTGATGAATTTATTCAACAAGCTATAAGGTTTCATGAAGATAATGAATTAGAAAAAGCTACTTATTATTTTAAATTGGCTGCTGATAAAGATAGTCCTCTTGGTTTATTTCTTTATGGTATCGCTTTAAGACATGGTTGGGGTTGTAAATCAAATCCAAAATTAGCTGTACGTTATTTACAAAAAGCTGCTGAATCCGCCGTTTCAGATTTACATACTACCATGGCTGCAAATCCTTCTATTGCTCGTCATGAATTAGTATTAGCTATATATGAATTAGGTATGTATATGTACTATTATTTATGTTGTGTTATATGTATGTTTTATTTGTACATTTTTTTTCATGTATTAACCTTTTTTTTTTTTACCTTTTTTTTTAGGTGTTTGTTTTAGACATGGTTGGGGTGTACCAAAGAATAAACATACTGCTGCTTATTATTTTGAAATTGCTGCTAATTTGGGTGATCCAGATGCTCAAAATGATTTAGGTTTTTGTTATGCAAATGGTGAAGGTGTTAAAAAAGATATGAAGAAAGCTGCAAAATATTATAGGTTAGCTGCTGCTCAAGGTTCAAGTATGTTAGGGAATTCTTGGATTTATAAAAAGAAATATGATGAATAATTTTTTTTTTTAAATTTTATTTATTTATATAATATTTCTTTATTTGGGATGGGGGTTTAATTTTTGGGAAAAAAAAACCATTTTATTGTGTAAATTTAATTTTCTTTTTTTTTTTTTTTT